CGTTTTGATTTGCATCTATCAGATGATTAGTGACTTTGAGCATGTTTTCATATGCCTCTTGGCCTTCATTCTGTCTTTTGAAAAGTAGTTAGGTCCCTTGCCCAATTTTGATTGGGTTATCATCCTTTTGCTAAGTTGTATAAGTTCCCTGTATATGTTGGAGATTAAGCCCTTATTGGTGATAACATTGGCAGATATGTTCTCCCATGCAGTTGGCTTTCTTGTTGTTTTGTGGATGGTTTCTTTTGCTGTGCAAAAGCTTGTTATTTTGATGTAGTCTCATTTGTTTATTTTCTCTTTAGCTTCCATTAGCCTAGGAGCAATATCAGTGAGGAAATTGTTTCAGCATATGTTTGAGATTTTGCTGCCTGTTGAACAGAAGTGGTGAGAGTGGGCATCCCTGTCTTATTCCTGTTCCTAGGGGAAATGATTTTAGTTTTTGCCCATTGAGTATGATATTGGCTGTGGGATTGTCATATATGCCTTTTATTATGTTGAGGTATGATCCTTCTATTCCCACCTTGCTGAGAGTTTTTATTGGGTGTTGGATTTTGTTAAATGTTTTTTCTGCATCAATTGATATGACTATGTGATTTTTATCTCTAAATTTGTTTATGTGATGTATCATGTTTATTGATTTGTGGATATTGTACCATCCTCCATCCCCAGGATAAATCCTACTTGGTCATGGTGTATGATCTTTCTGATGTACTGCTGGATTCGATTTGCTAGAATTTTGTTGAGTATTTTGGCATCTATGTTCACCAGGGATATTGGCCAATAATTCTCTTTCTTTCTTTTCTTTTCTTTTTTTTAAAAAATATATTTTATTGATTTTGTACAGAGAGGAAGGGAGAGAGATACAGAGTTAGAAACATCAATGAGAGAGAGTCATCGATCAGCTGCCTCTTGCACACCCCCTACTGGGGATATGCCCACAACCAAGGTACATGCCCTTGACCGGAATCGAATCCGGGACCCTTCAGTCCCCAAGCCAACGATCTATCCATTGAGTCAACCCGGTTTTGGCAATTCTCTTTCATTGTGTTATCTTTTTCTGGTTTTGTTTTAGGGTGATGCTAGCTTCATAAAATGAGCTTGGAAGTGTTCCTTCCTCTTGAATTTTTTGGAATAGCGGAGGAGGATAGGTTTTAGTTCTTCCTTGAATGTTTGGTAAATTCCCCTGTGAAGCCATCTGGCCCCTGGGTTTTGTTTGCTGGAAGCTTTTTGATGACTGTTTTAATTTCTTTCATAGTTACTGGCCTATTAAGATTTTTAGAATCTTCCTGATTGAGTTTTGGACTGTTGTATTTTATTTTTTATTTTATTATTTTTTTTTTTTTTAGGAATATGCCCATTTCCTCCAGCTTCTCTAGTTTGTTGGAATAGAGCTGTTCATAGTATTTTTTTTTTTTAACAATCCTCTGTATTTCTGTGGGATTTGTTGTTATTTCTGATTTTGTATATTTGGGTCCTCTCTCTTTGCTTTTTTTTTTTTTTTCCCCTCTGTGTCATTTATTTCTGCTCTGATCTTTATTATCTCCTTTCTCTACTCACTAAGAGCTTTTCTTGTTGCTCTCTTCCTAATTGTTTGAGTTGTAAGGTTAGATGATTTATTACCATTTTTTCTTGTTTTTTGAGGTAGGCATATAGCACTATAAACTTCCCTCTCAGGACTGATTCATTGTGTCCCATAGATCTTGGATTGTTGTGTTTTTATTGTCATTAATTTCCAGGATTTTTAAAATTTCTTCATTGTTCTCTTTGGTATTTAGTATTATGAAATGGCCTTTGGTATCTCTTCTTATGGCCTTCACTTAGAGGTCTATTTTGTCAGATATAAGTATTGCTACCCCAGCTTTTTTTTTATTTTCATTTGCCTGAAAGATATTTTTTTCATCCCTTAACTTTCAGTCTGTGTGAGTTCCTTGTTCTAAGGTTTGATTTCTTGTAGACAGGATATCTATGGGTCATGTTTTTTTATCCATTCACTCCCTCGATGTCTTTTGATTGGAGCATTTAATCCATTTACTTTTAAAGTTATTATTGAAAGGTACTTATTTGTCGCAATTTTTATTTTTTGTGCCTGTGTTCTTATTTTTTTATTTCTTCTTTTTACACCAGTCCCTTTAGCATTTCTTGCATTGCTGGCTTTGTAGTGATAAATTCCCTTAGCCTTTTTTTTTTTTTTGTCTGTGAAGCTTCTATTTCCCCTTCAATTTTGAATGATACTCCTTGCTGGAGTATTCTTCGATTCAATCCCTTGCTTTGCATCACTTTGTAAATTTCCTTCTATTCTTTCCTGGCCTGATGTGTTTCCGTTGAGAAATCATTTGATAATCTAATGGGAGTTCCCTTGAATGTAACTTTCTGTCTCTTTCTTGCAGCCCTTAATATTCTCTTTGTCCTGAACATTTGCCATCTTAATTATGATGTGTCTTGGTGTGAGTCTTTATGGGTTCATCTTGTTTAAGACTCTCAGCTTGTGTTACTTTTTTCTTCCCCACTCTGGTAAGTTTTCTGACATTATTTTTTCAAATAGGTTTTCTAACCATTGTTTCTTTTCCTGTTGTTCTGGCACCCCTATTATTCATATGTTGCTTCGTTTCATGTTGTCCCATAGCTCCCTTAGGCTCTCCTCCTGTCTTTTAATTTTGTTCTCCAATTGCAGTTCAATTTGAGTGTGTTTTGCTTCCCTGTCTTCTAATTTGCTAATTCAGTCCTCTGCTTCTCCTAGTCTACTGTTGAAATTTTCCATGGTGTTTTTTATTGCAGATATATCACTCTTCATTTCTTCTTGATTATTACATAAGTTATTGATTTTTTTCATTCATTTCTTCTTGATTGTTACATAAGTTGTTGATTTTTCCTCCATCCGGTCTATGAACTTTATGTCCCTTATTCTGAATTCTTTTTCTGACATATTGCTGCCTTTGTTTCACTTTACTGCTTTTCTGATGATTCCTCCTTTTATTTCCTTTGGGGGTTTCTTTGTCTACCCATTTTTTTTATCTCACCAATTTATATAGATGTAGAATCATGCAGGGGCTGCTCCTCGGGTGGCAGTGGCTCCTTGGGCTGAGGTTGCTTTTCAGGTGGTCGCTGAAGTGGCTTCTCAGTTGGTAATGGCTCCTCTGGTGGGTGCTGTTCGCAGCAGTGGTGTCTCCTCTGGCTGGTGGGGGAAGACTGCTTGCACAGCTGCTATTCCTTGCATGGGGGGTGGGTTGCTTGCATGGCTGCTGTTCCTCAGATGGGGCGGGCTGCTCGTGAGGCTGCCGCTTCTTGATAGGGTTGCTTGCCTGGCTGGTGCTCCTCATATGGGTGCAGGCTCCTCACGCAGCTGCTGCTCCTCCAACGGGGGGTGGGCTGCTTGCTTGGCTGTTGCTCCTCAGGTGGGAGTGAGCTGCACATGTGACCACTGCTCCTCATACAGGGGAGGGCCACTCACTCAGCTGCTGCTCATCGTACAGATGCAGGTTGTGTGTGGCTGCTGCTCCTCAGACCAGTTTGGGCTGCACAGGACTGCTGCTCCTTGGCCATAGGCAATCTGCTCGGGTGGCTGCTGCTCCTCGAATGGGTGTGGGCTGCTGCTGCTGCTTCTGCTGCTGCTGCTCCTCGGATGGGGGTAAGCTGCTTGTGCAGCTGCTGCTCCTCGGACAGGTGCAGGGTGTGGGGTGAGTGCAGCTGCTGCTCCTTGGATGGGGGCAGGCTACATGTTGCTGCTGTTCCTCAAATGTGGATGGGCTGCTCTTGTGGCTGCTGCTCCTCAGATGGGATGGGCTGCTCACGTTGTTACTGCTTCTCGGATGGTGGAGTGGGCAACTTATACAGCTGCTGGTCTTTGAACAGTGGCAGGCCATGTGAGGCTGTTGCTCTTAGGCCTGCTGCAGGCTGCTCGTGGGACTGCTGTTCTTTGGAAAGGGGTGGGCTGCTCAAGTGTCTGCTGCTCTTGTGGCTGCAGTGCTCTGGGCATAAATTTCTCATAGAGCTCATACGTCGGGAGGGGATTGGGCAGCTCCCTAAAGTAGAGCTTATAAAGTCTAGGTTTACTTATTTCAATATATGTTGAGAGCCTCATTCCAGGAACATGATTCTTGTGGAGTTGTGCCTTCAAGGAGTTCCCTTTATACGCGGGGGAGCTCTATGAGGGCCAAAATAATGAGAGGAGTGGAGAAGAAACAGTCTGTCTCATGGTTCTAAAATAGAATTTGGGGTTCCAGTGACTAAGGGCTATATTAAAATCTCTTCCCAGCGGACAGTCAATAGAATCTGACCTATACCTATCCCACAAATAACCACTATGGGAGAGGTATTGCTAGGCTTCTTGGAATGAGAATACTGAAGCCCAGAGAATTCCTTGCTTCAAGGCCACCATGCATTCTTAGCAGATCCTGTATTGCAGTTCTGGAATGTGGGTCTGTGAGGCTCCTACCCTGGATTTCTGAAGGTCCTGGAGCATGGTCCTGCCAGCAGTTTAGAGAGCCTCTGAAGATGAGGTGAAATTTTAGGTATACTTATCTTTCCTGCCCCAGGAAAAATGTTGGCGAGAGTCTGGGCTAATGTGAACTCGATGCCTGGACCCCAGAGTTCAGTGAGGACTCAATGAGCTATTTTTGCCAGATGCTTTTCAAAAATTCTGTCATCAGAGCTGACCTAACTTTTGCATTTTTTGCCTCTCCCTAATATACCCCCTTTGATAACTACTCCCACAACGAATAGCACCACTGGGCCTTTCTCATATCTGCAGTTCGCCCTGCCCAGAGAAAGATGGTAGGAGTGATGACTGCCTATTGCTCACTATAGGGTTTTGCTGTCTTGAGGCCCAAAGGAGGTTGGGGCAGCAAGCCAAGCACATGGAGTGCATTAAGTTTTTCCCTGCATTTTCTTTCTTTCTGGTTCCACTCAAGTCTGAAACCACAGATATCTGTGAAAACAAACTCTGCCTGGATGCTTTCTCACCAATACTGTGTCTCTGTTTTTATCTTTCTCATCTCCTCCAGGCCCAACTATGATGCTTCCTGACTGATGATGTTATAATAGAGCCCAGAAGCCAGAAGGCTTCATTTTCAGCTGAACATACCTGAGTTGTCCCCCATCAACATGGAGAGCCGAAAAGATGAAGCTACTCAGACCAAGGGAGCAGCAGCCTCTGTGGATACCCAGAACCAAGGGTCGGAGAAAGGAGCCAAGAACAAGGCAGCTGAGACAACAGAAGGGCCAGGGTCAGAGCCATCCTCATCTGGCCCAGGTAGGCTGAAGAAAACTGCCATGAAACTCTTTGGTGGCAAGAAGGGCATCTGTACCCTGCCTAGTTTCTTTGGAGGGGGACGGAGCAAAGGTTCTGGGAAAAGCAGTTCCAAGAAGGGTATTAGCAAGAGCAGGACCCATGATGGCTTGAGTGAAGCAGCCCATTGCCAAGAAGACATTGTCAGTGAAGGAACTGGCCTCTCCTTACCTTTGCCTGAGTCACCCTGCCAACTTCCCAGTTCTCAGAGTGCCCACGGGGCTTTGGAGACAGGTTCCAAATGCAAGATGTCTGTGTCTGGAGCCATAGAGAAAGCTGGGGTTGAGAAGGTTTCCTCTGTGATCAAGCCAAAGAAAGGCCTGAAAGGTTTTTTCAACAGTATTCGCCGTCACCGGAAGAATAAGGTCTCTGGTGCTGAGCAAAGTGAGCCAGGAGCAAAGGGACCTGAGGAGGGCAGAGCCAGGCCTCATGAGAACGAGAGCTCAGCCCTTCTGTCCCATGCCGAGGAAACCCTTCAAGACCCAAGAAAGGAAAATTCCAAACCCCAAGATGCCCATGGACCAAAAGTTTATTCACCATCAGAGACTTCTCCAGCAGCCACTGAAGAGACAACCTATAAAAATCCAGAGCAACCCATGGGGGTCTGTGCCTCAGCACTCTTGCAGTCCAAACCTTCCCCTGAAGCCAGTGTCCCAGAAGAGCCTCAGAACTCAGCGACAGGGGAGAAATTGGTGGTAGGAGATATAAATCTACTCAATGGCCCTGCGGGGGACCAACTGAGCCTCTTCTTTGGAGATGTCACATCCCTTAAAAGTTTTGACTCACTGACAGGTTGTGGTGACATCATAGCAGAGCAGGACATGGACAGTATGACAGACAGTATGGCCTCTGGAGGCCAGAGGGCCAACCGAGATGGGACCAAGCGAAGTTCTTGCCTGGTTACCTATCAAGGGGGTGGGGAGGAGATGGCCTTGCCAGATGATGATGATGAAGAAGAAGGGGAGGAGGAAGAGGAGGTTGAATTAGAGGAGGAGGAAGAAGACATGAAAGCAGAAGATGAAGACTTAGAATATCTGTGGGCAAGTTCTCAGATGTACCCAAGACCCAATATGAATCTGGGCTACCATCCCACCATTTCACCAGGCTACCAGGGCTACATGCTGTTTGACCCAGCTCGGTCTTATCCTTGCCTAGCTCCTGGAGACCTTTTGACTCCTCAGAGTGACCAGCAAGAATCTGCCCCCAATAGTGATGAGGGATATTATGATTCAACCACACCTGGATTTGAGGATGATTCAGGAGAGGCTCTGGGACTTAACCGCAGGGATTGCCTGCCCCGAGACAGCTACAGTGGAGATGCCCTCTATGAATTTTATGAGCCAAATGATAGTCTTGAGAACTCCCCACCTGGGGATGACTGCCTTTATGACCTCCATGGTCATAGCTCGGAGATATTTGACCCCTTCTTGAACATTTCTTCCTCTCGGCCACCTGGGACAATGGAGACAGAAGAAGAACGATTAGTAACCATACAGAAGCAGTTGTTGTATTGGGAACTTCGGCGGGAGCAGCTCGAAGCCCAAGAGGCCCGGCAGGCACACACCAGGGAAGCCTATACCCAAGAAACTCATGCAAGGGCGGCTCATGCCCGAGAAGCCCACACCCAGGAAGCTCATGTGAGAGAAGCCCGAGTCAGAGAGTCCTGTGCCAACGAGGCTTGTGCCCGAGAGGCCTGTGCTAGGGAGGCCCAGGCCCGAAAGGCTCATGGTCGAGAGACCCAAGTCAGACAGCCCCAGGTACGGCAAGAGAAGCCCGTCGTGGAGTATCAAATGAGACCCTTAGGCCCATCAGTGATGGGCCTGGTGGTAGGGGCATCAGGGGCTTCTCAGACTTCACACCGAGGAACCACGTCAGCTTTTCCTGCCACTGCAAGCAGTGAGCCGGACTGGAGGGACTTCCGTCCCCTGGAGAAGCGTTTTGAGGGAACCTGCTCCAAGAAGGATCAAAGTACCTGCCTGATGCAGCTCTTCCAGAGTGATGCTATGTTTGAGCCAGACATGCAAGAAGCAAATTTTGGAGGATCTCCCAGAAGGGCCTACCCTACTTATTCACCCCCTGAAGAGCCAGAGGAAGAGGAGGTTGAGAAGGAAGGGAATGCCACCGTGAGTTTCTCACAAGCCCTCGTAGAGTTCACCAGCAATGGGAACCTCTTTTCTAGCATGTCCTGTAGCTCTGACTCTGACTCATCCTTTACTCAAAACCTCCCTGAGCTGCCCCCTATGGTGACCTTTGACATTGCTGATGTAGAACGGGATGGGGAAGGCAAATGTGAAGAGAATCCTGAATTACACAATGATGAGGACCTTGCAGCCTCTTTGGAAGCTTTTGAACTGGGCTACTACCAGAAACATGCCTTTAACAACTACCGCAGCCGATTCTATCAAGGTCTGCCCTGGGGTGTGAGTAGTCTCCCTCGATACTTGGGACTGCCTGGCATGCACCCACGACCCACACCTGCTGCCATGGCCCTCAACAGGAGGAGTCGCTCCCTTGATACTGCAGAGACCCTGGAGCAGGAACTATCTAATTCTCACCTTGCCCAAGGCTACATGGACCCCGATGAGTTTCAGGCTCAACAGGAAGATTCAGAAGAAGAAGAGGAGGAAGAATGGGGCAGAGACAGTCCCTTGTCCCTCTATACTGAACCTCCAGGGGCCAGCGACTGGTCTGCATGGGCTCCTTGTCCTCTCCCAGAAGATACAGGCCCTGCCTGGATAAGTAACAGCCAGTTGGATGGGCCTTCTAGCCAGTCTCCATATAGGCAGCAGGCAGCCTGTTGCATACCTCCTGTGGCTATGTCAGTAATGCTGTCAGTATCAGGGCGAGAGTCAAGGGAAGCCGGGGAATCTGGGCCTCAACTAGCTCGGCCTTCGCACCTACCCCTTCCCATGGGCCCTTGTTATAAGCTCCAACCACAGGACTCCCAGAGTGTAAGGGCCAGGCCTCGAGATAAGCTGCTGCCTGCTGATGAGCCCAGTTACTCCTCCAGTTCTGGAGGCTTCAGTCCCAGCCCTCTGCCCCAAGTCAAGCCTGTGGGCATTACCCATGGCATCCCTCAGCTGCCCAGGATCCAGCCTGAGCCTCTGCAGCCTCAGCCCATTCAGTATGGGGCTTCCAGCCTTGATCGGTCAAAGGAGAAGGCCGAGCACTGTGCCTCTCCACCAGAATGGAAACCTAGCTGAGCAGTCATTATCAATTCTGGAGTGGTCGCATGGGGCCTGAGCATGGGATGGGGATCAGTTATTGGGCAGAGGGGTTTGGGGATGGGGGTGCTGTTTAACTTGAAAATCCTTTTGGTCAAGGAAAGCTCCTATGAGTTTTCACCTTCGTTTTCCCACTTCCCTCTTTTGCCATCTGTGGCCACATTCAGCTCAAGTATATCTGCCCCAGGAGGCTGCTGCTGCTGTGCTCCAGTTTTTGCTTTCAGGGTTTCTTCTTGTGACCCATGTAAGGTTTGGGATGCTATAATTTTGTGCCTATTCCAATTGCCAAGTTAGTGAGTATATATATAGCATGCATCCTTGACAGGCTGAACCCTTAGCACCCCCTGCCAGCTTTACTGTCCAGTGAATGATGAACAGCCAGGTCTGCACTGCCTTCTATGTGGGGACAGGGGGCTTGTTTGCTGTTAGCAATGTGAAATTATGGTACAGACCCTCCCCATCCTCACTCCATCCTGTCTTGGCATAGCTGCCACCATTACATCAAATGACTATATTTGTCCCAGCTAGCTGTCCTTAGAAAGGATCATGTGGCATATATTTCATTGCCTACTGCTGTGGACTTTGGCATCATAACCAGATGGGGGCCTTTAAACCTGGCCTGCCATAGCTTGTGTTGAAGAAAAAAATGATCCCCTTAATGGAGTGATCAAATTAATCCAGTTACAAACAGGAGACAAAATAGGGTTCTATTATAGACACTGCTGTAAGTATTGAGCTCTGGAATGATAGGATTTTTTTTTTTTTCCTCTCTTAAGCTTGTGACTTCCAGAGTTTCAGGTGCTTTTAAATTTTGGTTCTTTTTTTCCTCCAAAGGAAATATTCATAATTTTATCACAAAGAATACATTCATTTAATTGAGATATTAGAAGAGAAGCAGCCTAAATTAGGCTTGACTATAAGGAGTTAGGGTTTTTGCAGGTTCCAAGGGAAGGGTAGGAAATGAAGGTTCATTTGTCCCAGCCAGCAGGAAAGATTTCAGATTTTGCAGAGCTTGAGGCAACCCATCTTCTTAGAAGGGAAAATTGCTTCCCCCCCAAAAACACAAAAAGTTCCTTATGCCTTTCCCACCCATTCATTTATATGCTGTGAAGAGGCTCCAGACTAGCACTTCCAAGAGAGGATAACAAAGGCATCTAGGCTGTTGTTCTGGACTCAAGAGTTTTCATTTTCCAATTATCTAAGTCCTTAGCATCATAAAAGGACCAGGCTTCTTGAGAGGAAAGTCTTTGATCTGCCCACTGCCAAGCTTCAGGATGCTCATTTACATGGCAGTTCAAGCCCTTTATAGAATGAATGGCACCCTCTTTTCTGTTAAATTAGCTTGGAAATACTGATGGGGAAAAGTCGCTGTCAGGAAGACATTACAGCAGGCTGATCTTACCAAGCTCAGCCTCTCAATCACCAATCTGAGAGGGTTCCTTTTAAATTTATTTATTGGAAATAGTATATGGAACATTTTTTTTGTCTAGATGTGTAGACCCACCCAAATTATGACCCTTGCTCCTCCCATGGCCACACCTGTTCTTACACTTATCCCCACCATTTCCTTGCCTGTTATGAAGAGGTCAACAGGGCTCCTGAGATTCCTGAAATGGCAATTTGGCTTGGAAATAGATGCCATTGCCTTCTCCTCTCCAGTCACAAAGGTTACTTTGTACACAAATTGCTCCTTTGTCAGGAGATATATTTGTACTGGTCTTTGTCATCATTTCTCTGATTGGGGTTGGCCCAGTGCCCCTCCCCCCAAATCAGGTTTGGCTGGTAGTAGCTGTAACCCTGGAAGCATCACAAAAGTTTGCGTGCCACTAATACTACCACTCAAGGGACCCAGACCAGCTCTCTAGGCCGACTTTGCATCATGAAGAAATGAATCAGTTATGGAGCTGGAGAGTGAAATAGGGTGAGGAAGGCCCTCCTTACACCAAGCACAGCATTCCAGCAGAGAAGTGCCCAAATTCCAACCTGTCCACCAAAGTTGCCCTAGGAATACGGGGCTGAAATTTGCCTGACTGTTTGGCAAGAAGTAAACACTCACCAAATGCCTTTACAATAGGGAAAAACCCACCAATTGCCTCCTCTGTCTCTACTTGTGCTTTAGGGCAGCTCAAGCTCTTGATTGAATGTGGATTGTGGCAGTCACAGCAGGTAATAGAGCCATCACCAGCCTCCAGAACTCATTGGGCCACCAGCCTGTCTGGGAAGAGAAAAATTAGTTGCTCAGCCTTTAGCCAAAGGCTGAGAGCTGCCCTCAGTGACAAGAGGGCAGCAAGAGGTGCTGCCTCTCATACTTTTCTGGGCTTTGGAAATTTGCATACAACAGAGGGGCCTAGGACTGAGTAGCAATTTGGACATTGCTGCCTGCAAGTCTTCTCACTGTCTTGGCCAGCCCAGGGATAGGATCCTCACTACCAGAAGTGGGGCAGTTAGAGGTCATGGCTGCAGAAATAGACTCCTAGAATCTCATTCTGGATCCATGTAGTTCCTGGCCAAATCCCAGCTGCAGGTAGAAGAGGAAGAAAGACCTGTCTAGGAACATGTGATGGCAGTGCAGGGTAACACTGGGAGAGCCAGCCAAGCTCCAGTCCTTGTCCCAAGCATAGAACAGTGCTTACTTGGCTGACACCAAATATGCCCTGAATATAGGTGTCAATGCCCAGTCCATACTTAGGTTGTGACCAGACAAACACCCTGTCTGCATTGCAAGGTCTTGGGATACTGCTTTTAGATGAGATTTCAAGGGAAGATATGACTTGAGTAGAGGTGGCTGCCCTCATCTCTATACCCAGCAGGCTTATTTAGTGCCAGACAGCTCTGGTCACAATACCCAAAAGAGACTGGTCCATTGGGGACCAGTGACTGGATGGACAAGGCAACCTAGGAGGCCTCTCCTAGGGCTGCCAGTTTCTCAGTGCTTTAGCATCTTTGAGGAAGCCCTGCCTTAGTGCCCAGATAGGGTCTGCTCTGCCCAGCTTGGGCACCAGTTTATGAGTTTCCTGGGCCAAAGGCTTTGGTCAACACTAGTCTCCCTCTATGCTATACCAACGAGGAAGGTAGCTTCTCACATGCAGGTTATGTTTTCCCATATCCTGCTGCCAGCAACTTACCCACCCTTGCCAGTGCCACTACCCAACCTGCCCTCAGCCCCCAGACCCAATTGCTAGAGGGAGGCATGCAGGGATTAGCAGGGAGACTTCAAGTTTACCCATGTCTATGTTGCATTCAAGTTGTTTTTAGTATATATATATGTACATATATATATCAAAAGTCAATTATCTATTTTTGTATTATTTGCATTTTATAATCATGGAAAACAATGTTTATCAGTCGTTCTTTTCTGATCTATTTTATTTTTAAGTGGTGCTGTTTACAGTTTTAAACAAAACAATGATGACACAAAAATTGCTGCTGCTTGTGCAGAGGGCTGGCATCTCAACTGCTCAGAGCCCTCACTCTCCCCCTCTCCCCAGCTCTGATGTATCGCACTGTCCATCTCCTCCTTCCATGATAGGGGCAGCAGAAGATGCCCAGGTACTAAGACAAATGCCAGGCATGTGGAACCTGGTAGACAGCGAGCGTGTTTTTTATGGCTTTTTTTTTTTTTTTTTTTTTTTTCCTTTTAGACCTTGCCCCTTTTTGTAGACCTTCTGGAAGTACTCATGTCTTTGTCTCACTCTCTCTTTTTTACTCTTTATGTTCTGTGCTTTTGTTTTGAAACCAGAATGGTCATGTTGTACTGTTTGTCATGTTGAGTTTTTCCAAAGGAACATTTTGGGGACAGGAATATTCTCCACTCATTGGGGAGGGAAGAGGGTTTCAACCATATCGTGTCTTCCCAAGAAGTTGAGGAAGGTAGATGGCAGTGATGTTTGAAGCACCAGGAACTAGCCATCTTCTTGAGGAAACTTGTATAGGACTTACCAGGAGCTTGGTTGATTGGGACATTCACCCAGAAGAGACATTGGGGACCTCCTTGACCCCTCATGCTGCTTTGGGGAAATCTCTCCCCTTACCACCTTTCCTGCTCCCCTGCCCTCATCCAGCTCACTCATGGATGGTACTTTGAGAAATAGTGACTGTCAGGGTGATGGCTTACTGGCCTGATCCCCACTTTTTCGTCCTATAGTCACTCCAAAGAAGAAAATTCACATGGCATGTATATGTATAAAGGTTGGGCTTACTGAGAGGCGGGGCTTTAATTATTCCTGTTTACTATTGGTGCTTATTTACCCTGCTGTAGACTGGGGAGGGGTGGGAGGGAAGAAACCAGGAATGTATATTTAGCTCATATTAAATAAAATGGCTGGGGGACAGAGGGAAGAAATTAGGAACTGCAGTAAATCCCAATCCCAGGTATAAGAGGTCTTTCTCTCAGTTGCGAAAAGGGAGCATGACCCCTAGATGTGCCCTAGCTTCCCCTTCTCTATTCCTGAGACATCATGGAGTTGCTTGGATTGTGACCTCTCCAATCCTAATTCTCACTGACATCTGGATATCTTTATTTGTAACAACATATACTTCTTTTGCTGAAAGCTAATAAACTGGGTCAAGAGGGACCCCCCCAGTCACTAAAGTGCATTCTTGTTGTTTTATTCCCCCCCGCCCATAGTAGCATGCCTGTGTTCCATAGTTTCTGGCTTTCTCCTTAAAGGGAAATTGAGGCAACAAGGAGGTGAACCTCCTACTGATGGCCCCATCAAAAGGATGTGTCTAATGGTGGGACTCTCAGCCAAGCTATAGGAATGGCATCTTTCATTAGGCTATGGGCAGAGATGAGAGGCTGGCCAGGCAGCTGCTTGCCTCAACTATTCAGCTATGGGGCTGAGTAGGGAGCATGTGGCTTCTGTCCTGTAATGTAGGGCATCTCATCTGGTAGGCACCAGAGATGCACCATAGTAATAACCCAGTCACCTTGGGATCATGTTCTTAGATCATCAAGAAGGCCTACCTGTGCCATCAACCAGGAGAAGCTGATTGTGCTAATGGCTTTGGTTTCTCTAATCCAGATTCTTGTCTTTGGCTCCTGATAAGTAATGGTGTCTGACACCTGATTGTGGGCTTTCTTGAGTTCCTTCCAATTGCCATGTCAAAGCCTGAAGGCCTGAAAGCAGCTGCTTGAAAGTGCCATGGACAGGGCTACCACAGACACAATTGGAGGGCTGCCTGGGGCCCCTTTCCAGACTAGCAAAAAAGCTTGGTGGCCTCCGGGACTTCATGAGTCAAGCAAAGTCAAAATAAATCAAGTTATCAAGAGAACCACCTGAGAGGGGAGTTGATAATTTATAGAAATGGAATAATCTGCCATGGGCTGGTCATGGAAGGAGGAAGAAAGTCAGGTTTGCTCTGGGATCTTTTGGAGCAACACTTTCTGGGGGAGAAGGGGCCTTAGTTCCACTTGAAATTCACTGGTGTTCTGGAGTCAGCCTGGGTTTATGCCCTAATTTTTGCCACTCATTAATTGATGGGGAATTCAATAATTTCTCCTCTGAGTCTCAGTTTCTCTATCAATAATATATGAGTGGCACGGAGATAGATTTGACTACACTGGTTTTCATAACCAAGTTAGAAGATTGAGCTACCTTAGACCCATGAAAAATTTTCAGCCACCTAAGTCCACCCTAATTCTGACTCATTTGGCCTGGGGTGGTACCCCACTTTGGGCCTGCTGGATGAGATGAGAGGTAAGAGCCCTCCTGTTCTGTGACTGGTGGCCACCAGGGGGTCCTTTGCTGCTGGAAACTAATTCCAGCATATCAGCAGGGCTGAATCATCTGGAGTGGCTGAGGGCATTTCCCCAAACCTGAAAAGGATGCATAAATGATTGCTTGCTGCCAGACAGCTGAAGGCATTTCAATCTACATGTTAATGCCTCCTACTGGCCAAACACCTGAACAGATAGGCAGTTTCCCCCAATCTGACAATGGATCCTGTATACTAAACCCTAGCCATTGATATGTGTATCTACCTTGCTTTAGGACAATTTGTGTTCATAAAAAGCAAGGGGTCCAAACAGACAGAAGAACTTGGTTTCTTTAGCTAAGTTTTCTCTGGTTTCCCAAAATGCCTTTCAAAATTATGTTTCGTCTCTGGACTCTTGATTTATTCACACAGCACCTTCTCCAGATTCCTGAACCCTTCAAGATGCTGGATTAAGCCAAAACCGGTTTGGCTTAGTGGATAGAGCGTCGGCCTGTGGACTGAAAGGTCCCAGGTTCGATTCCGGTCAAGGGCATGTACCTTGATTGCGGGCACATCCCCAGTAGGGGGTGTGCAAGAGGCAGCTGATCGATGATTCTCTCTCATCGATGTTTCTAACTCTCTATCCCCCTCTCTTCCTCTCTGTAAAAAATAAATTATATATATATATATATATATATATATATATATATATATATATATATATATATATATTTTTTTTTTTTTAAAGATGCTGGATTAAGACCACCAGCATTACTTTGCATAGCTGAAAGGGACATTGGTGGAGGGAACTTCTTAAGACTTTCTTTAGATGATCAAGAAAGCAACCACAGTCAGATCCATTGCTGGTCTATCTGAGGGCCAGGATTGTTTAGCAAATTGGTTGCCTTGGTTCCCAGTTTCTGTTAGAGCAGATGTAAACGCAATAGATAAGAGATATTTGTGAAAGCCTTTTGGAGGGTGTTGTGGCCAAGTTGCTAGTTTCCATTGCCCCATCATGACTGGGCTTGGGACTTTTCTCTGACTTTGTTCTTTTCTCCCTAGATAAATCCTAGACTAGTCTGTACTGCATGGTTTCTAGGAGAAACACCTAGTCAATAAATGCAAGTGACATGAGGGTATCACTTTCTTTTTTAAAAAAAAATTATTTTATTGATTCTTTACAGAGAGGAAGGGAGAGGGATAGAGAGCTAGAAACATCGATGAGAGAAAAGCATTGATCAGCCGCCTCCCGCACCACACCCCAAAGGGGATGTGCCTGCAACCAAGGTACATGCCCTCGACCGGAATCAAATCCGGGACCCTTCAGTCCATAGGCCGATTCTCTATCCGCAGAGCCAAACCAGTTTTGGCATGGGGTATCACTTTCTAGTTGGCAATCTCCCTTATCACCTAAAAGGACCCTGAAAGAGGTGAGCAAAACAGATTATTTTAACTCTGCTTTACAGATGAGGAAGTAAAGACATGGAGAAGTGAAATGACTTGCTCATGGTACTATAGAACACTGACTGCAAGCCAGAATGAGAGAGATGGTGGGCAGGCTAGGATGGAAAATGTGGTGGAAGAGAAAGATTATTGCTAATAATTCTCCAAGTGCAGAATGAATAATATCATTGATATGTTCCAGGCAATATACACTTTAACATTATCATCTGTAGTTCTTAACTCTATGAGGTTGACATTGTTGCCTGCATTTTTAGATGAGAAAACTGAGCCTCATTAGGTTAAGACACTTGCCAAAGTTCACAGACAGATCACTGGGCTTCAAATTTCCTGCTTTTCCATTGCATTTGAGTAAGGCTGCACATTATAGGTGCTAGGGTGTGAATACCAGCAATGCCCCTAGCATCAGGCCCAAAGTCAGAGACTCTTAAAGCTCTGCCTCCTTACCCACTGGGCTCAGCCTAGCCTCCAGCTCCAAGGTCCTTTAAGTGTGGGGAGGGACAGCCTTTCTCCACTTCCACCTCCAGCCTTGGATTTCTTGGAATTGTTCCAAGCCAGGTGGCCCCTACCTTCCTCCCACTTATACCTACTAATAAGTGGCTTGGGAAAGATATGAATAGCAGAATGAGTCAATAGATGTGAGTACTTAGATGCCTGAAAAATGGGTTTCCTGCCACTCAGATCTTCACCATGAATTGAAGCATTGCCTCAAGAAAGAGTTACTTAATTGTATATCACTTAATAGCCACAGTGGGAAATAGTCTCTTTTTCTCAGCAAGTAATTGCTGTCTGATGGGCTCTTGAAGGCTACACTCCTTTGGCCCTACAGTTTCCCTCCCAGCCCATGGAGCACATCACAAGGCTTCCCAAGAGACCCTATGCAGCAACCAATACCAACAGGAAGTGGATGCCCTGCATGGCCAAAGATGCTGTGAATATAAGTAATGTTACGTCCTTCAAGAGGTCAAAAATGGAATGCACATCAGATATGGTTGGGCAAGAACAAGTACTTTTAAAAAAATCTTTATTGTTGAGAGTATTACAGATGACCCCCCCCACCCCCCCCCCCGCGCAACTGTCTCCCTCTACCCAGATTCCAACCCACCCAAGGCTTCACTTACATCATTGTATCCATGGATAATGCATGTATGCATATAAATTTTTTGGTTAATATCTTCCTCCCCTCTCCTCTCTTCTCTCTGAGAATCCTCAGTATGTTCTGTTTCCATGTCTCTGATTCTATTGTATTCATCAGTTTATTTTGTTCGCTAGATATCTTATTCATCTATTTTGATTTTTAAATTTAGTTGTTGATAGATATGTATTTATTGCCATTTTATTGCTCACAATTTTAATCTTTTTTTCCTTCTTCTTAAAGACCTTTTAACATTTTATGTAATACTGGTTTGGTGGCGATGAACTCCCTTTTTGTTTGTTTGTTTGTGGAACTCTTTATCTGACCTTCAATTTTAAATGATAACTTTGCTGGGTAGAGTAATCTTGGTTGTAGGCCCTGGCTTTTCATCACTCTGAATAGTTCTTGCCACTCCCTTCTGGCCTGCAAAGTTTCTGTTAATGTGAGCACTTAGATGCCTGGAGAATGGGCCTCCTGCCATTCAGGCCTTCACCATCAGTTGGAGCATTGCCTCATGAAGAGTTATTTAATTGTAACTCACTTAATAGCCACAGTGGGAAATGGTCTCATTCTCTCAGAGAATAATTGCTATCCCAAGTGACAGTCTTTTTGCTGTTCTGATTTTTTTTTTCTTCCCCATATTCCTACTCACTGATTTGATTCTCAGTGTCCTCGACTCTACTGTTAATTTCTTATAAATTAGTCTTCATTTCAGTTAGTTTATCCTTCATTTTTCTGTTGTTGATGTTCTCACTAAGTTCCTTGAGGTTCTCATTAAGTTCCTTGAAGTACTCATTAAGTTCCTTGAGCATTCTTTTTTTAAAAAAATATATTTTATTGATTTTTTTACAGAGAGGAAGAGAGAGGGATAGAGTTAGAAACATTGATGAGAGAGAATCATTGGTCAGCTGCCTCTTGCACACCTCCTACTGGGGATGAGCCCGCAACCAAGGTACATGCCCTTGACTGGAATCGAACCTGGAACCCCTTAGTCCGCAGGCCTACGCTCTATCCACTGAGCCAAACCGGTTTCGGCTCATTGAGCATTCTTATAACCATTGTTTTGAACAATGTATCTGGTAGCTTGCTTGCTTCCATTTCATTTAGGTCTTTTTCCGGAAATTTCTTTTCTTTCATTTGTGATGTATTTCTTTGTCTTTGCATTTTGGCTGCTTTACTGTGTTTGTTTTTATATATTAGGTAGAGATGCTATGTCTCCTGGAATTGGTAGAGTGGCCTTGTGTAGTAGATGTCCAATAGAGCTGGAACTCAGAGGGAGTGAATCCAAGTAAGTTCATGAATG